ACGATTTATTGCATTTTTTTAGAGTGCTTTAGCAATCCCTGTGTGAACGGGGCCACGTGTGTAGATGGTGAATATGGTTCGTACACATGTCAATGTGCAACGTACTGGATGGGTACAAACTGTGAAATACAAGCAGGTAATGTGTTAATTTAAATACAAGTGAGATATTATTTCGTTATAATTATTAGGCATTTTCCGTTTTGGCTACGTGGCGCCAGTCTACTACGAACTAATAGAGCGTAACAGACATCTGCGCATGCTCACACACTTTACTGACTAATTTTCCACTCAAAATCGTAGATTTTACTTATTTACTTTTAAGTCTTTGGAACGGCGGCACACGCAAGAGTGTTGTTGCGTTCAGCTTGAATTACAACAATATAAAAATTAACTGAAGAAGGAGCACACTTCAACCATGGAGGAAATAGTTATTTCCTCCATGCTTCAACACAATCATTGATAAAATATGCAAATAGACACAGAAAATACTGTACATACAAAAAAGACTACAAATTAAAAAATAGGTACCTAAAAGGTACATGTGGCTACTGAATTGCCTTTTTTGGTTTTGTTTTATTTATTTTTAAATTTTTGTTTGTATATGGTATGTTTTAATGTATGTTAGTGTTTTAACTTCAACCGAATAAGGAGATGTTAGGTCTGCTTCAGGGTGGTGAAACAAAACATTTTCATGTTTTTTAATAAATCAATTTTAGTTATCAAAAATATTAACATTAATAACTGCAAATATGAGGAAAGTCATGTATGTAGTTGTCAAATAAATAATAAGATATACAAATACTAAACTGGTAGGTCACGTAGACCCTCCGCCATGGCGTCGAGGCCTCACTCTTATCTGTACAAGGATTGGCCAATGAGCAATTGAGCTGTTATAGTAGAGATCAGTGCTTACAGCTTCCTAAAATATTTTAAGCTCTGTGATACCTGTTTGGTCATTTATGGTGCATAATCCCCTTTATGACAATGTAGTAAATATTAAAAAATTAATTCATATAACAAAATTCTAGTTTTCACTTTTTCAAAATTATTATAAAATATTAATATTCACTGCTTTGTCATAAAATGGACAATGCGTATGTTGTAATGTCAATCAAGCTTTTCTAATCTTTATCACTTCACTTCATCCTAAACATTATCACTTTGTTTAAAGCTCTTTCCACACTATCAAATCTTCTTTGACAAAAAAACTGTTGTATTCCCATATATAGTCATGATGTGCCTATATATGGTCATGATGTGCCTATTTATGGTCATGATGTGCCTATATATGGTCATGCTGTGCCTATATATGGTCATGATGTGCCTATATATGGTCATGATGTGCCTATATATGGTCATTATGTGCCTATATATGGTCATGATGTGCCTATATATGGTCATGATGTCAAATAAAATTGATAGTCTGAACAGGGCTTTTAAATGTTGAGATATTGCTGTTTCATGTTTTGCACCTTAGATTTTTCGGAATGTTCCAGCAATCCGTGTCAAAATGGTGCAACATGCATTGGTACCGTTGGGTTTTATCAATGCTCTTGCGCTGCTGGCTACACGGGAGTACACTGTGAATTAACAGGTGAAATGTTCTTGTTATTTGCACCAAATACATGAAGAAGTTTCACTCCGCTTATTTTGAATGCAAATATCAAAAACTTAAAATACAGTGGGATACCTCTATTTAAGGGGACAACAATAGGAGACACTTTTTTATTTAAAATATATTTTAACAATACGGTCAACCCCTATTAAGGGGACACTTTTTTTGGTCTCAAATGTGTCCCTTTAATAGCAGTTCTACTGTATTAGATGGCAGCCTTCTAACAGTTATCATGATTGATTTTTTTTTCCAGAAGTCTTGCATATGCATATCATTGGGTAGCAAAATTCCATTTCTGTTCAGGTATTAATCTAATATAACAACTCCCTGATCTAATAAGTTAAATGTCTACATTTTTGGTGTATTGAAATATTCATTTGAATATATGAAAAAAATCCAGATGCCACAGCACCCCCTTAAAAGTCCTGAGCACCTCATTATGCTATGGCTGTTCACAACAAAAGTGGAGTGGAATTTCTTTCTTTATGTTGTATATCATTTGTAAATCAATTGTGTTATAATACTCTTATATATCATTATATATTATTTGACGACTGAGAAGCACTGGTGTATGTATTTTATGTTGTGTTGTAATCAAATTTTGAATTGTTTGTATTTGACATGTTATATTATTTGTCTTATTGCATTGGTGTCTTTTACTAATATGAAGAAAGTTCTGTAAGATCCATGGTACAAACACAAATAACAACAATAAGAATTGGTCTTTTTTTCACAAAGTACATATGTTCAACCTCCTTAGTCCTATTGGTGAGGTACAGAGAGATGAAAAGCAGGGGAGTTGAATGATAGGAAAATTATCTTTTTTGTTGAACCAGTTAGTTGCTTACCTTAGCAACAGTGTCAGCTGCTACAGTCACTTTCTTCAGACTAATTTACCCTTGGATGCCCATAAAGTGAATCAAAGCTTACGATTTCTGTGCTACGAGGCAGAAAAATCGGAATGTACAATTTTTGCCGTGCAAAAACTCAGTAGAAGTGCAATCAGTGATTTCCAAATCATTATAGAATTTTGTTTACACCCCAAAACCACTTTAATCGCATCCCAACATCCAACTGATTGGTTTTTTTTTTTCTTGTTTTTTTTTAATACTAGCAGAGATATAAATTAAATATGACAAACTGAAGAAATTATTCTTAAGATCTGAAGTAATGGGCAAAAGCCTTTTTATTCATTTGGGTGATTCCATGTTTTTTAAATAGGTGATAGTAGTTGTAGTGAAAATTATAATCTCATGGCTGGAGGAACAATCAACCTCTACACACCAGGATATGGCAGTGAATACCCAAACAACGTATTCTGTAAATGGGTCATCGATACCCCTGAGGGAGTACAGATGCGCCTCATGTTCTTGACATTTAACATAGAGCGCAACTATGACTTCCTAAGTGCTGGAGATGGTAACAACCCTGTCAATGATTCTACCAGGGTTATCCATGCATCTGGAGCTGAGATTCCAGAGAACTTTATCTCTGATGGGAATGTGATCTGGATAACATTTATGTCCGATAATGAAAGAGTGGCACAAGGTGTTGCGATGGAAGTTATTGATGAGGCACTTGCAGGTATGTGATTTAATTTAAAACTTATTTCTTTCTCTCACAAATACAACCTAGGAAAGCTATGCAAAATTGTTTTTCCTGTTCTTTGTAACTCATTCCCTCTTAAGTGTTTTCCCAATCATATGATCTTACATCTAAGAGTATGGATTGTAAAGAGTTCTGACTATCAGGTTTCTGTGGAATGCAATCCTAATCCACAACATGATAATCCACAATATGATAAAATGAAAGTTGTTTTGTTTTTTATTGAACGTGTGCTGTATATAAACGACACCTGTTTAAATTTTCCAACTCTATTCGAAATATTGGTTGAGCGCTCGCAGACTTGTAGCACACTGTGAATTTTGTTTTGATAGTCAGGCACTTCCTGCACCCGATGGTTGCTGGAAGACGGGATTCTATGGAGAATCATGCGCGCAGCATATAATTTTTAATGACGGTCCATTCAGACTGCCATCGACATCAGCAGACAGCATTGCATCATCTTTCACTGGGAGCTGAGTTAGATTTGTAGGCCGATCGACAGTCGTACGACGCAGTGGTGCCTGGCATTATACGCATGCAAATTCAGGAACCTTTTACTCTTTCTTTGCTTACATCCTTTATGGCTGTAAAGAATAAATTAAAGAATATTAATTAACTGCTGCTGAATTTTTATGATGTATCCCTTAACTGTAGTGGCTTTTTTTTAGTGAATACTTTATGAAAAAATATTTGATGATGAGCTCAAATAATAATGATAGTTATTTGTCTGTGTATAGTTGGGTGTGTTGGAAGGCCATGCCTTCATGGATCAACCTGCACTGAAACCAATAATGAGGCTGGTTACGTGTGTAGCTGCGTGGCAGGTAGAACTGGCAGTAACTGTGAAAACAGAACGGGTAAGTTGTCATTTTGCGAAAAGGAATGTCTTATAGCAACCGCATTTCAGGGGTGACTGTTGTAAGACGGTGTTTGCCTACTCTGTTCTCGCGTCCATATCATGTTTTTTTACGTTTTTATTCAACCTTCTACTACTACTTTATTCAATTCATGCTCTATGTATACTTTCGTGCCTATTTTTTATTTATTTTTTTAATTGGTGCATCACTAAAGCCTGTTTTCCTCTGGGGTAATTTATTCGCGCGAATTGAAAGTGTCGGTTCAAGCGCATGTGCATTCACATTTCTATCGGAGTTTTTCGCTTCAGCGAAATCGGTAGTTCGAACTGTTTCTACTTTTTGCGAAGCTAAAAAAATGATCATCCAAATCAGAGCTCAGGAAGCGAATCAACGGTTTCAATTCAGCTAGTAGAAAACAGGCTTAATGTTTGTTTATTATTATTATTATTGTTATTATTGTTATTATTATTATTATTATTATTACTATTATTATTATTATTATTATTACTATTATTATTATTATTATTATTTTTATTATTATTATTATTATTACTGTTATTATTATTTTTATTATTATTATTAATATTATTACTATTATTATTATTTTTATTATTATTATTATTATTATTATTTTAATTTTTATTATTATTATTATTATTATTATTTTTATTATTATTATTATTACTATTATTATTTTTATTATTATTATTATTATTACTATTATTATTTTTATTATTATTATTATTACTATTATTATTATTATTATTATTATTATTATTACTATTATTATTATACCTGTTCAACCTGTTTATGACCATTGCATAGCAACCCGTCCCTTGACTTCTTTGGTCAAACTGACCAGGTAAATGGTTACCTGTAGATACTAAAAAAAAAACTTCTGATAAAGGATTTACTTTACTTCAAAGATTCCATGACTTATGTCTGTGAAAACTATGTGTGTGATAATGGTGGAACATGCTTTGAGATGGATAACACAGCAGCTTGCCAATGCCCAGATGGTTATGCTGGTTTATTTTGTGAAATAGGTACATTTTTTTATACATTTTCGCTGCATATTACTGCGTAGAAAAACAATTTGTAGTTTTTATTTACTTTTATTTTTATTACATATAAAGAAAATAACACTACAACAAAGTAAGCAGTTGTTTATCATAAATAAGCCTAGAAGGTGAAATATTTATTTAATTTATAAAACAAAATTATTTGTTACCAATTTGGTACAAAGTTTAGAAACAAGATATATATTCATAATTGTTGTACAGGTGAAGTACTACTTGTGACTTGTTATTGTTAATGTGATTTCCTTTTTGTGTTACAGAAGTGCAGCCATGTGATCCAAATCCTTGCTCTAATGGTGGAACTTGCATTGAAGGTCTAGATGGTAGTTCTTTTACCTGCAGCTGTTCAGTTGGATGGAGTGGATCAACATGTGGCAATGGTACTTTTTAAAATATTTTTGCACTATTAACAACTTTTCATCCATTGAAGCTAATAGTTTGCTACTTGGACCAATTGCTGCAGTGGTGGCTCCAGAAATTTGCCGACATAAGTCCAACCGGAGGTCTGAGTAAGAGGCCGCCAGAGCCTTTGTCAGGGTATTGGAATAAAATTCTTAGTGAATTTCATTGGAGAGATTTTATGGCTTAGAATGGCTTAAAATTGTGCTTTGACCACAATATTTGAGGTACAAACAAAGGTAGTGATTGCCATTATCTCAAAATTGCTATAAAACAGTCTTAACTGGTAGTCTTAACTCCTCGAATAAAGTCAGCTTTATCACTTAGACTAAAGTCACTCTGCTAAGATCAGTGCCATAAAGTCATTACTTAGACTGCTTTGAGTATTGAAACGCAAACAAGCACTCCCTGGTAACATAAAATTGAGGGCCCTGTTACACTTGCTCAAAACATGCATATTTATGAAAATGAACGTAAATAAATGTACACCACAGACGCTGAGAAGTTTGCGGAATATTCATCGTTCTATTCTTTAGTCTTTGATGATCTAGTTCTAGTACCTGTAACACCATGATGACAATGAGAGCCGAGTACGCTTTAAAATTTAAGATGGCTAACTGCTTAAACCGCGGTATAGTAATGGTCTGTAATCATAGACCAGTAGTGGCGTCACGATTAAAGTCGGCTAAGCATCAAGACCTTCTAATAAAGACCGCTTATAGCAATCTACCCCAGGTCTCTTTATGTGCCGTGGAGGTGGAGAGAGGAGTTAATCATTCAATACCTCAATGCTCTGTAACAAACTCTAATGTGAGGCTTTAAGATTTCACTAGTGGTTGTCCAGAATAAAACATTGAGTCCAGAATAAAACATTGAGTCCAGAACCATCAGGGATGGGAGGCTACCATATTGCCATGCCACATATTTACAGTACTGTACAACTACTCATGTTGCATAATTTATTCTTGCTTATCAGATGTGAACGTATGTGAGACCCAGCCATGCTTGAATGGTGCAACATGTGTAGATTCTGTTGGAAGTTATTTTTTCTGCTCTTGTATGCAAGGATTTTCTGGAGTTCGTTGCGAAATAGATAACAGTAAGTCTTTAGAAGTTAGAAGTTTCAAACTACCTTAATTTTAAGATGTGACGTGTTCCAACAAAAACCGGAAAAAGTCACTTGTAAGTTAACATCTGGGAAAAATCAATTATTGAATCGTTGGGTCAAAAATTATCAAGGGTCGCACCAGAATATGCTCAACTGGGGTGGTTGAGAGTGGTGGGGGGAGGCAACATCCTCTATAAGAGCGTGGTTGTGATTGGGCATTGCTCAAAACTCCTGGGAGTGGTCTATAGTAACTTAATGGGTTTGTAATTTAATTTTTAATCAATTTTATAGTCAAATATTATGTAAAAAATACATGTATATTTTTTTGCCCAGTGAATTGTGTGTTTCTCCTCGAGGAGGACCTGTTGTCCACACCGGGGGCCCTGGCCTCCCCACTGTCACCACCCCTTTAAATTATGTTATTTTGACGCTTTATGTTCATTTACTATCTTCGGACACCGCTGTTTTTGTGATTTTTCTTCATTGCCTTGTGCCTTTACAATATATTCATCCTATACCACTGTCCAGGCACTGCTGAGCAGGGCATTAGTGTCCAGGCACTGCTGAGCAGGGCATTAGTGTGAATGCCCATTTGGGTTCGGTGGTGCAATGTGCCAATCAGGTTTGTCCCGCCAGAGGCATTTTATTACACAATTTCTTTATTCATTTATTTACAGGACTACATTCGTTGAGAGCTATGCTACACGATGTATTTATTAAGTCCTTTATTCGAACAATGTATTTACCTTTCTTTGATGATTTATATATGATTTAACAGTGTTAACGGCTACCTTGATTTATGTTATATGCACCTATTTGTTTCTAGCCGTACCTATTGTGTAATAGAGTGTATCTGGTGGTATTTGAATCTGTTCAACCATGAAGCCTCCGTGGTCTAGTGGTTATGACACTCGCCTTGACAGTGAGAGGTCGCAGGTTCGATTCCCGCCAGAGGCATTTTATTACACAATTTCTTTATTCATTTATTTACAGGACTACATTCGTTGAGAGCTATGCTACACGATGTATTTATTAAGTCCTTTATTCGAACACTGTATTTACCTTTCTTTGATGATTTATATATGATTTAACAGTGTAAACGGCTACCTTGATTTATGTTATATATATATATATATATATATATGAATGGCGTCCTTAACTGGAATGGCGTCCTTAACAAAAATGCATGTCGATTAAATGAGGTCCTAATCACGTAAACCTAGGAGGTTCATTCGGCGCTTTAGTGATAATCCGTGCAACCCCACGGATTCTGTTGTTCAAATTAATTGTCAGCTTTCTGAAGTAGAAACCAAACTTCTATCCCGAGGACTCAAATTTTGCCCAAAACCGAGGCAGGCTGACCCACAACAACTATCTTTGGATCTGGAAGCTTTCTTCCGACGTTTAAGATGCCGTGAATTTTTCGCCGATTCCGACGGCAACACCACGGATAACACGGGCAATGTTACTAAATTCAAACCTAAAAGTACAGTACTCATTACTGTCTCTCGTGTCATTACTAATACATCATTCTAATTATAAATCTCATGGTTAACTTTACTTTAGGAAGCATTCCTGTTATAAGTTCTTATTGTAAGTTAACAATTACAATCATCGGGACATGACCGGTTGAGCCGCCGACAAGTTGAGCCGCCGGTCATTTCTATGGAACGCCAAGCGCGTCTCTCAGTAAATGTAGTGCGTCTCTCAGTGAATGTAGTCGGCTTGCGATGTCATCAGTGAACGAACCCCCCAGATACCAGCTACATATTCATCCCACAGTCTTTGATTTGCTCCTATTGCCGTTCGTGATGTATAATTGTGTAATTGAAAATTAGAATTTTGATTATATATAAGTTTAATAAATAGTACAAAAATAAAAAGTATATAAATTACAAAACCATAGTAAATACTGTATAATAACATAGGCCTAACACATTTAAATTTATTATTTATTATTCATGCAAAATCGTATTAAAAATGTAATAACTTGATTGTTTTTTACGTTTGGTTTGCAGCGTATTTCAATTAACTTATTCGCTATTTGTACTATTTTGTTAAATTATTTAATTAAATTATATTTATTATATATCATTATATATAATAAATGATAAGAATGTATAGAGTTTTTTTTTTATTATCTGGCAAGCCGACTGAATTAGACAGATGACTATAAACAATAAATTTAAATGTGTGAGGGCTATGTTATTATACAGTATTTACTATGGTTTTGTAATTTATACAGTATATTTTTATTTTTGTACTATTTGTTAAACTTATATATAATAAATGATAAGAATGTATGGAGTTTTTTTTTATATCTGGCAAGCTGACTGAGCAAATACTCACAAAATTTAAATTAAAACGATAGAAAGAACAAGTAAATAAATTGAAATACGTCCCAATAAATATTTAATAAATCAGTGCAAAAACCGAGTATTAAATAAATTGAAATAATTGAGTAAATAAACTGAAATACATCCCAAACAACAGTACCATGAAGAACGAATAAGTTAATTGAAATACGCCGCAATTAACGCACTACATTCACTGAGAGATGCGCTTGGCGTTCCATAGAAATGACCGGCGGCTCAACTTGTCGGCGGCTCAACCGGTCATAATCCCAATCATCCATGCAAACGCATCAACTAGTACACAGGGCCTAGAGTATCTCAATTACTCTAGCAAAATAATCTTAAAGCATATAAATAATATAACAAGAATAAATCATAAACAATTGAATTATAACCGCACCTGCAATGCACTCCTATAGCACTGTTATATCAGGCAAATAACCTCTTGTTCTCATCAATGTAGAAATCTGATAAAAATGAATATAACTACTTCTAATACAATGCCAAGTAATCTTACATTAAAAGCACTTGCGCTATCAATAAAATATAGTTAACTATTATAATCATAGAATATATTCAACAGTATTAATGGCATCAAAATAAAAATAAACTAATAACAAATATGATCAAATCACGATCATAAACATCGTCATAATAATATCGATAATTATCGTCGTAAAATAAGTAATAAAATCATTCATCGTAAGTAACATAGTAATAAGCACTTAAAATAATGAATATCCATCAAATAAAAGATCGTATAATCACACGAAATCGTAGTAGAAAGATAATCTACAGCGCTACCCGATCGTAACATGGGCGCAGCCATCTTGTTTGTTTACGTACAACGCCCTCTATTGACGTGAGTAAATAATTATAAAACAAACAGTGCCTAGAGCAAAGTTTATGTCGCCCAAAGGCAAATACATGTGCACTCTTCTTATCAGTGAAATACGAATACCCAAGCCGATAGATAAACGATTACCAGCAAGGCCTAACAAAGCCCAATTTACAAAATCGTAACTTAGAAGAAAATTTAGATATCATCTAGCAGTCAATACATATAAAAGTAAGATCGTTACTTGGCTGAAAATCATCAATATTTCGATATACTGTGTAACTAGAATCAGTGCTAGGCTAAGCCAGCAATGTACAGAACTGATTGCTATTTTACAATATATCTTTCCTATACTTAGCATAGCAGTAGTTTACGATAAAATACTTCTTTAAATAAAAGAATATCATGGAATAAATAAGTTTATAACAATAATTAATACTACATATGAGTTATGAGTTACAACATACCGGAAAACTTCGGACACAATATCAAACTCTGCAATCTGTTACAATCTGTTTTTCTTCTCTGCCCATAGACACGTCTTGCCTCTCTCGTGGCAGGTTCTCAACTTACTTAGCTTGTTTAAAGACGATGCGCAAGTCGTATTACACAGACGCTAAGATAATTAACACTCCGCGAATATCCAAACAAAGCAGGGGCGGATTTAGGGGGGGGGCCGGCCCGGCCCCGGCCCCCCCTTTTGGGAGGTAAAAAAAAGAAAAGAAAAAAGAAAAAAAGAGAGAAAAAGAAAAAAATGATAGCCCAGAATGCTTCAAATGTTATGTTTGGGCGTCTAGAACACAAAAATTTCGCGGGGGCATGCCCCGGACCCCCTACGACAATGTTGTCTCAATCGGCCCAACTTTCGGCCCCCTCCCCTTCCGCTCCCCCTTCCTGCCCCCCCTTTTGGACATTTCTGGATCCGCCCCTG